GATATATACTCGGAAGTGGAATTGCTAGGTCATATGGTATGTTTCATTTTTAAAAACCAAACAGAATCCTGGGAAGAAAGGCAATGAAACCCATAAAATTGCATATAAGATTTTGAATGTCCTGGCATCTATAACCTCATTAATTCTCAAAGGAACTGTGATTTAGGAGTAATTAAAAACTACAGCTATAGAGCTTTGCTTTTCAAAATGGGGTCCACCTGGGAGCTTGGTACAAATTCAGATACTCAGACCCCACCCCAGACTTATAGAATCAAAATTTACATTTTAACAAATCCCCCCACTCACATGAAGTTAGAGAAACAGTGCTCTAAGCAGCTGGCCAAATCTGAAGGCCTGTTTTTGTTTGTTTGTTTTAAAACAGCCCTTGAGCCAAGAATGATTTTTTACATTTTTGAAGGCTTTTTAAAAAAATTTTTTTTTCTAGAGAGACTGGGACCCTGTACAAAAAGACAAAAAACAAACAGAAAAAGGTTTGCCAATCCCTCTGCTCTACAGCACGTCTCTGATATCTGTGTTAGTGAGCTTGGAAGGTATGGGTTAAGTGTCTGCTGACTGGATAGTTAGGATGCACCAATCCTTTTTTCCTAAAAGCAAAAGAAATCCACAAATGATACGGCCACATAATCTGAACCAAACATTACATAGAGCCAGAAAGCTCCAATTACCGCATTCTGTAGGTTAGTTTCCTCTGTCCAGCACCGTGCAGAGTTGGGAGAGTAATTCAGGTTCTCACAGGAACCAGTCACCTTCCTATTTCACAGCTCCGTCCTTCCTGTTCTCCAACAGCTCAGAAATGCCACTTTAGAGATAAGTATCATTACTGCAAGTGGACTTTTCAAAAACATTTTTCTTCCCTTAAATAGTTATAGAATTAGTCTTTTTTTTACTGAATAAATTCTGAAATTGCTGGTACTATTGCTAAACATTTACTCTTCATTTTGTGAAATATAAAACCAATTTCTTTAGAAGCTAAAGCAAATTCAATTTTATGTTAAGATTGTGCCATTCCTATCACGTACGTAATCTTAAAATATGATTTGCTCCAGAGTATACAACAGGACAGAAATCATCTGAGGATATTTATGTACTTGTGCTATTCATCAACTCTGGGTTACCAAGATACATGAAGTTTGTTTTAAACTATCCTGAAAACAGTGGCCTTGAGAAGTCAATAAATAATCTCCTACCCCCAGGGCATATACTGAAACCTCCAAAATTCTAAATTTAAGACTTTTATGACATCATAAACTTGATTTACTTTGATAATATTAGCAGGTAATACAGAAAGCTTAAAAACACTTATGTTCATTTCTCAAAAAATGACACCTGATTTTACTACCGTGGTTTTCATCCATCCAGAGAAATATTTTCCTGGCATTAAGATAATACAAAATTACTGTGGCTCCAGAAGACGAAATGGGGGGTACTCTCTCCATATTTTTACTTGTCAAGTCAATTTTATTTGGCTTCTACACACTTCTAAGGTTTACCTAAGCATCTGCTGTGCATGCTTACACAATGTCTCTTTGGAAAGGTTATTAGCTGGTATAGCAACATCTAAAATTTAATTTCCGTAACTCCCTGTATCTCCCCCTCAAAACACCACCGAGTCCAATCTAGCCTTCAGAAAGTGCAGCGGAACCCAGAACCATCTTATCAGATGTCTTCCTAAAGCTTGCAAAAAGCGAGCTTAACATTACCTGAAGTGAGCAGATGATCCTTACATCCAAAAATTACCACAAAAAGGTCTATTTCTGGAAGTATCAAAATAGCAGCTCCAAACTTACTTTCATCTTCAAAATAGTTCACAATAGCCCTGGCAGGTGTGGCTAAGTGGTTGCTGTGCTTTACATCCCTATGACTACTTTGTAACTGCCAATTTGTACTTCTCAGAACGGGTTTGTATGTACTGCTTAGAATAGTTGCTATCTGTAGTAAACATATTGACCTCAGATGAGGGATATAAACTCATCTTTTAATATTAAACTCACTGTTTTTTGAATATTAAAAGAAAGGGAGTGGCTGTTGGAAGCTGAAGGAAGTGGGTTAAGGAAAATCACTGTAACAGGGACGGAGCTGTAGTTTGGGAAGACGAGAAAGTTCTGGAGATGAGTGGTGGTGATGGTTACACAGTGATGTGAATGTATTTAATGCCATGGAACTGATGCACTTAAACATGGTTAAAATGGTAGTTTTTACTGTGAGTATTTTACCATAATATAAACAAATATAATAAGGCAAACTCCAGAAGACTGGATATCTTAGGTCACGCACGGTATGGGTCAATCATTTTTGTCCTTCCTAAACTATTAAGTACAATATACAGAATGCTATGCACAAGAAATGGATTTTCACAGTGGGCAACAGAAGTCAGGCAGATCAGGGTTATAATCAGGCTTTACCACTAAGAGATCTGTGCACTGGGCACATTAATATATTATATAAAATTTGCCTAACCTGCCCAAAAAGGCCAGAAAAGTCTGCTGGAACTGAAAACTGAATAGAGAGGCATCTATGGCTAGAGCACAGGGAGTGGCATTAAGATGAAATCATAGACATAAGCAGGAGCTACACAATGCACAGTCTTTTAGGTAAAAGAAAGAATCTTATATTTCAGATGCACTAGGAAGCCATTGAAAGCTTTGGCAGGTGAATAAATAACGTGACCTTTAGAAAACCATTCTGGCTGCTGCATGGAGAACCGAATGAAAACCAAAAAAGCCAAAGTCAGGTTAGAACACAATGGCAGTGTCAGTGTGAGGTGATGGTGGAACTGAGGAAACAGAAGTTCACAGATTTGGGTGTGTTCTGGAGACAGAATCAACTGGCCTTAGAGACAGAGAATAAGAGAAAAGAATCGAGATGACTCTGTCGTTCCTCAGTTAGCTAGGTGGTTAGAGTGACCTACCGAGAAGGGGAAGAAAGAGGACCAGGACTCAGAGGGAAGAAAAAATCTGAACCACCACCGCTGAACAGAAGCTGGCCTTGTTTATGTCTTCAAAAGGGAAGGTGCCTTGAGGATCAAGGCCACAGTTTCCTCTGACGTTGTCGACCACTGCTGTCTACTGATGCAAACCAAAGATAGATGCTTGGGGGTAATTTCTCTAAGTTTTCAAACAGACTCAATACACTGAAATCCCCTATCTAGCATAAAAATTCTTAAAATATGCTTAATTTGAGAGGGTTGAGACTGGTAAAAACTTTTAGAGAGTGCCCCAGAGGATTCTGATGTGCCCTCCTGCACAAGAACTACTGCTCATAACTCAAAATCGTCCCACTCTCAATGCGGTTGCACTCATTATCTCGCCCTCATTACCTCTTGCCTAGGCTATCAAAATAGCCCATTTCCAGCTTCCCCATTCCAACCTATTTTCTTTTCCTTTCTTCTTTTTTACTTGATTTTATTTTTTAAGAGAGAGGGGAAGAGGAGAGAGAGAAACTCCCACTCCACCCCATCCATGCACTCACTCATCTGGTTGTTCCTTGTATGGGCCCTAACCAAGCACTGAACCCACAACCATGGCCCACTGGGAAGACGCTCCAACCGAGCTACCCGGCCAGGGTCATTCTGACCTCCTTTCTACATTACTGCCAGAATTCCTCAACTCATATTTTTTCTATGAAATCCATTGTGACAAATGGTAAAATCTGAATAAGGTCTGTAGATTAGATAACAGTATTTTATCAATTTCCTGATTTTGATACTTGTATTGGAGTCATATTAAGAGAATGCCCTCAATTTTATAAAACAAACACTCAAGCCTTGGCCAGCGTGGCTTGGTTGAGCACGGTCCCATGCACCAAAAGGTCCGTTTCGCTTCCCGGTCAGGGCACATGTCCAGCTTGCGGGCGAGTGCAGGAGGCAGCCAATTAATGTTTCTCTCTCACACTGGTGTTTCTCTCTCTCTCCCTCTCCCTTCCTCTCTCTCTAAGAATCAACTTATAAAAACATATTTAAAAAATAATAATAAACACTGAAGTACTCTGGAGTAAAGGGGCATTGAGCCTACAACTTGTTCACTGACACACATTCTGCAGCCCTACTTAACCAACATGATGGTCTACAGGCAACACTGTTCCTTTTCTGGAACAAGAAAGACAAAAATTATGGATGAGAAAATATCTGTGACAACTTCCTTTTAGAGGCGAAACTGTACAGGACAGGCCAACAGATGCAGCTCGTTGAATTCTTTATTAAAGTAAGACAGACAATAAGCACAAAGCACACCTTCCCCATCAGTGTAAAAGTGTTACTATGAGACAATTCACAAATAGAAACCAAGTAACAAGTATTCTAAGCTCTACAGGGTGTGAAAACCACGATGATTTGAACAATCCAATGTAATGACTCTCCAACAAAAAGACTCAACTGTCCTTGAGTTCCAAGGGTGTTGTGGGCCACCTGAGGAATGGCACTGACCAAGACCATGAGGAAACAGGCAGTTGGTGGTCTGTGGAGGGCTCTGGCTGTGCAGTGCATTCATGAACTCTCTGAAGCTCACCTAGAGAACCCAGGCTAAGACACCTGGCTCAGTGCAATGGAGAAGTACTTTTAACCACAGCTTTTAGATTCATGATACTACCCTTAACTATCAACTCAGTTTGACAGTTGCAAGTATGACTTAACATTTATGCCAAGAAACAAAAAACTACAAAGCCATTAACTAGCATTCTAACAGACTGCATAACTAATTGCCAAATCAAAATTAAGTACATCATCTCGCTAAGGCTAGTGTACTGCAATGTACCAAAAGTAGTAATAAGCACAAACAATTAAAAACGCTTTGTTTAAAAAATATCAGTAACATGAAGGGAGGTACCAAAATACTTTGAAAGCTTATACAAAGCCTTATTTGTTTGATGGCACTAAAACCGATACATATACATGAGCATAATTTTTAAAACACTTAATTATGAACCCTGAAAAAAGAATGCATTTGGATATACAATCCAGAGTAAAACAAAAATGACAAACTCACCAGCAATTTCTACAATATCACCAGGAACTATGTCTTTAGCTTTAATCCGCTGTACACTCTTTCTGTCCTGTCGATACACTTTGCCCATTTCAGGCTCATACTCCTTAAGGGCCTCGATTGCATTTTCAGCATTTCTTTCCTGTAAAAGAGAAAACACATGCCTATCACTGCAAGTATTTCTAGCCCAAGGAATCAAATTTTAGAGTTCTAATCTAACCTAAGAGACACAAGAGAAGTACATTAATGACAGTTGTAAACAATTCACATTTAAGGTGACAAACGCTAGGCCCTTACGAGTTTGTGTTAAAAATGAAAAAACTAAGCCCCCTAAGAAGGGTAAGAGAATAAAATCATAAGGCGGAAAATGAGCCTGCTGCCCCTAAGCGCACAGAAATGCAGGTCTCACCTCTAGCCACACACACCTCTGCCACCTAGATCAACCCTGTCTCACATGAAAGGTGATGGGTTGGGGTCTGACTGCCTAGGTTCAATTCAGACTTAACAGCTACGATTGTGGGTAATTTACACAACACACAGGTTCACTGCCTACAAAACCAGGACACTTATAGTACCTACTTTAAGGGTTATGAGGATTTACAAGCTATATATAGAATGCTTAGACTGTGCTTTGGCACACAGTAAATGCCACGATTGATGAATTAAGAAAATTGCTATGTCTCACAAATTCTAAGAAAACTCTCTCCAGTGGTAAAGGCCAGTAAATGGCAGGGATCTCAGCACAGCACTGCCAGTCGCATACCACATTTACCATATTATACATGAACATATCAAGACTTAGACAGTTTTTCTTTCCTAATTTCAAGATGAAAGATGTAGAATCAAAATGAGTCATGTTTGGGCAAAAAAAGCTACCGGGAAGTTCCTTTAAGGGCGTGGGGGAAAAAGAAAGAAAACCTTGTGTGCCAAAATTTGTCTTATCTCCTTTTAAAAAACAAGCAGTTAGAAGTTACAAAGCAAGCCTACAAAGTGCATGCCCAGGTGAGGAGAGGATTCTTTTCATTTCTCTCACATTTCTCCCTCCAATTAAATTTTTTTTAAACCCTCACCCGAGGATATTTTTTCCATTGCTCGTCAGAGAGAGTGGGGGGGGGAGAGAGAGAAACATCAGTGTGAGAGAAACACATCGATTGGCTGCCTCCCGCACACGCCCCAACTGGGGCCGGGGATCGAGCCTGCAACCCAGGTACATGCCCTTGTCCAGAACTGAACCCAAGACCCTTCAGTCCACTGGTCGATGCTCTAACCACTGAGCCAAAACGACTAGGGCTGGCCCTCCAATTTAAAGTTCTTCAATTTAACCTTTATTTGGACAGACAGACTTGGGTCTCAAATTTTCTGGTTTTCCTTAAGTAGCTTCTCTCATCCACTGTTCTTAACTCCATGCTATCATGAAGGACAAGCAATTCATATGTGCATGAGCAAAGTATATATACACGAGAGATCTAATATTTTGCCATTAAATAAACTAATGGACAAAAGAAAAAACACATGTAGACATTCCAGAAGTTGTTTTTAGTCAACACATCAGAAAAAAAACAAATTAAGAGAAAGATTAAGAGTTTAAGCCACAGAAATTACTAAAATTCAGCAGTGCAGAATTTTGTGCTTACCTGCCACACACCCACAATTGCATTGGCTACTAATATAAGTAAAATGACAAAGGGCTCTACAAAAGCTGTAATTGTTTCTTCACCTTCTTCAAACCAAGCCAGAACCTAAAAGAGAAAAGGCATGGGTATTAGAATTGTAATGTTTTAGGTTTAGCGCCACTTTATAACAAAAGTGACAGGTACTAAAGGAATCACGACCCACAAAATCTCTTTTCTTACCATCCCTAGAAACCAGTAGTGGTGAAATGTAATGACCCCAAAGACCAGCTTATGTCTTGTTTAAAATAATTCTTGAAAACTGAAACTATACAACTTAACAATACCCTTAAGAACTAATTCATTTTTTCATGTGATTCTGTTTTAAAGTCCAAATAAAATACTTTTGGGGAAATAAATCCCATTCATTCTATATGTATATATTCAGCAAAAAGAAAACAAACTCTTAATTTTGTTGAAGTAAAAGGCAACAATTAACAACTTTGATTTGGGTAATATTCATATCAAATAACACCCTGTGGCAGAAATCCAAAATAAAAATGACTTGATCACCGACTCAAATTTTTAGAGTATGTAAACTATTAATGCAGCTCTGAAATTTTCATTGGTATTACTGAAGGTTGTCTCAGAATTACTGAAAGGTTGTCCCATAATCAGGAATATATTTTGAAGGCTATCCTCCATATGACATCTGGTACAGCAGCACAGCATTTCAGAAATGACATAAGTCTAAAAATATTCTAACAGGACACAGAGCACTGCCCAAAAAATGAGCAGAGAATAAACTTCTAGCTCACACAATCATAACTTTATTAAGGTTTAGAAGCTACAAAAGAGCCATGGTATACTTCATAACTGAGCAATCCTAAGGAGGTAAGAGAGGATCCAACACAATGAATCTTAATATTAAAATTTTAACACCTATTTCTGTGAAAAACTGCCAATTCAGAAAGGATGTTAAATATTATCTAATGACTCAATCTGGGAGCTAAGATGTGCCTTTGTTTTTTAACATTGCTTAAAATGTTTGCATGTTTCACAATAAAACCTTTTCTTTAAAAGACCTATTTAGTAAACAATAAAAGCATCGTTTTTGATACTTTTAATATTGTCGGATATCATTTATGGCAATAATGAAGCCATCTAACTGTGTACTTAGTGGATACTATAAAGTGAGTTTTCACACAAATAGCAAATGACCAGGATGACTGAGGCAAGGTTCAACATGAATATTGCCAAGTAAAAGAGGGTAACAGTGAATTAACAAGAATTATCAATTTGAGCAGGAAAAAAACAAAAGACACCAGGACCAGGTCCTGATAAATGCCACTCACCACTGACAGCTAGTGGACCAGGGCAGGCAGAAAACCAGAATGGATATAATGTTGCTGCAAGCTTTCAACAGGGCATTCCTGGTGTTAAAGCCAGGCCTAATGCCAAAATGAAATCTTCTCTAGGAAGTTATAATTTTGATAGATGCAAGATCACAGCTGCCTTGATACTAGCCTTCCAAACATTTGCCAAGGACAGTACACCAGAAATAAGAAACTTAATTACTTGGGGGAGAAAAATTGCTCAACTTGAAGAGTAACCAGGACCTTTCCAAAAGGTCAGTGAGCATTAGCAACCGTAAGATAAGCTTCACACCTTGTTAACGCAGATATGAATTTCCCTCTTGGCAGCTAGGCCTGAGGAACAAACTTAGAGCAATATCCCCTACCAGCTGGAGCAAAGGGAAAAGACTAAGCAAGCAGTGACAGAACTATCAGAGCAGACCTCTCCTTTTCAAGAAATGTGTAGTTCCTTTGCCCAGTGGTGTTCATCAATAATATAATAATCTTAATCTGTACAATGCAGTAGTCTTTCCTTCCACTATGACTTTAAATATTTATGTGTAAGAAACACAGGAATTCATAGTTATTTAAAAGTTTACAGATATACTTATTACTGTTTAATAAGAAACTAATGGGCAAATCTCTAGGGTTGAAGGATGTGTCGAACCTATTAAAAACTAAGAACCAACAATTTCCTGAACACTTAAAAATGTCTATTTTAAAACAACAAATAACCCAAAGAATTAAATGCAACAGCCCAAAATGAAGATCAACCATATTTCAATAACTGGTAAGAACCAATCCAGTCAATCATGTTCAAATTACATTGTGCAATCCTCCATGGTTTTGTTCTACTAAAAAGAAAACCTCTCTTGTGTAAGTGGTGCTGACAAAAGATGAGGAAAAGGGTAGAGAAAAGGAGAGAAATTGGATGAGTGACACATTATTACTGAATTGCAAGATGCCTTATTAGCATAATAGTAGAGCTAGCTCACAATTAGGATTTACCAGAAGTTATACAAAATATGTTTATACAGGAGGAAGGGGGAAATGTTTAAAAAAGTCTTTACTGAGAATAGGTTGAACAAAAAAGACTATCTGTTTGTATGGCGTTCTGTTCACTGTTGCCTCCCCAGGGGCCTTGAGAGTCTCTTAGACTCAGTTGATGCTCACTATGTATTTATTAAATAGACACCCAAATGCATAAACAAAACCTCATGGAACCTCTAAGGTGTAAGACTCTTACTACACACACACATTCACCTTTTAAACCATATTTTAAAGAAAGGCTCTAAATAAGTTAGTTAAACCAATCAGTAACTGCCCATTTTATCTTTTTTAAAATAAGAAACTGTAAACAAAAAAAATTTTCAAATCACTACATAATACAGTATCAAACACTTCTTAAATATACTATTCTGAGAAAACCACAGTATACAGAGCTCACATATTTTGAAAACGCTACCAACAAACTCACCCAAATACATATTAGATATAGCAAAACCAATAATCAAGGCTCTAAAAGGAATTAAGAATCCCTTTAAAGGGTCCAGTAGGTAGAAAACACAATTATTCAAATGTAAGTGAAAAGCTGAGAAGTGCCTTGGTCTAAGAAAGTTCTACTAGCATTTTAGGGTTTATCTAAGCAGCTGAGGTGGGGAAATGGGGGTGGGGGTAGTGAAACTTATGCAAATTGTGTTACCATAGAGGACTCTATGATTCAGATGAGACAAACATGGCCCTCACGCTCCCCTCCTTCGGGTCTTTTCTCAAATGTCACCTTCTTAGAGGCCTCTCCTGACCACCCTATTTGAAAACTGTACTCCCCTCTTCATTACTTCGTTATTCTACTGCTCCCCCCACCCCCACTTAATTTTTCTTCACAGCACTATCAATGTCCGAAAGGTTATTATATATTTTACTTGTTTGTTATCTGTCTCCACTAGAATGTCAGCTCCAGGTAAGAATATGTCTATTTTGTCTGATACTACATCCCCAATGTCCGTGCCATATACCAAGTGTTAAATAAATACCTAACGAAACGGTGAAAGAGGAAAGGAGAATTGCAGGTAAGCAACCATATGATGCGTTATATGAATGGAAAAGTTGGTGACGAAGGATAGAGAGACAAAATAAAAGGATAGACGGTCCTGAATGTTAAAATTAAGAAATTTTGGCCCTGGCTGGTCAAGCTCAGGCGGTTAGAGCATCATCCCAATACACCAAGGCTGCAGGTTCGATCCCTCAGTCAGGGCACATATAAGAATCAACCAATGAGTACATAAATCAGTGTAACAAGTCGATGTTTCTCTCTCTCAAATCAATAAATAAAAAAATTTTAAATTATGGAATTTTTAATGTTATTTCATATGCAATGGGAGATGTATCGCTCACTTCCAATCTAAGTGACCTTTAAAATAAACTACTTTCAATATTATAATTTAATTATACTATCCCTACAGGTCACAAGTGTAAAACATTAATAGTTTCCTACTTTCTGCCACAGCAAAATATTAACTATGGTTAACAGTTTACTACCTAGTTTGATATTTGAAATAAATCACTAAAGCATAATATTTCTTTTTAACTTGATCAGAACCTGATGATTATCATATATATAGACCTCTATATTTGCTTCTCCAAAAGAACATGGATATTCTACCAGTTTTTCCTATTAAATAGGAATAAACTGAGAACTACAGTGCTCTTTTGAAAGATAAAGAAATGGGGAATGAAAAGGTCAAGTAAAAAGGTAGCAGGAGTGCCAACCACACCTGAAGAAAATCACCAAACAGGTTTTTATGGGGTTTTTTTTTTTTGCTAATCCTCCCCCGAGGATATTTTCTCCATTGATTTTGAGAGAGTAGAAGGGTAGAA